TAAGTGCTTATATATATGTAAAATTGCTGTCACTGTGTGTTAGTAAGTATATATATGTATGTGTGATTGGTGTCGCAGTGTGTTAGTAAGTGTCTATGAGTATGTGTGATTGCTGTCACTGTGTGTGTTAGTAAGTGCTTATATGTATGTGCAATTGCTGTCACTGTGTGTGTTAGTAAGTGCTTATGTGTATGTGTGATTCCTGTCGCTGTGTGTGACAGTACGTGTCTATATGCACATGTTTGTGCGGCTTTGTTCTCAATAGGGGCATAGGCGGCCCTAGTGCTCTGTGTTCACCTACATTCTCACGTACTCACATCTGTGGAAGGTGTACCATGCACATCCTATCTGCACATCCACCATTGCCATGTGATACAAACCGCTGCCAACACCAACTAGCTACACATTCAACCTACCCCGCCAACTAGCTTTGTACTAACACACTTGCAGTGGACCTTGATTTTTCATCCAAGCGTGGACACAAAGTATCCTGCCCCCTCACAGTGCTATTCAGAGCCTCGTCCGAGAAGCTCTGATCACGTGCACCCCATCCGAGTACTCACAGTCGCCGTGGGATACATTTAAGCCGTTACAGGCCAACAACACGCTCAACGTACTACACTGACCGCGTGCGTTGTTGCTTTATACGCCGCTTGTGGTCGACTTTGATTTCGTACCCGAATTCTCATACATAGAAACCAGGCCTCTCTCCGTGCTGTTAGTTGCTCAAGGCCTTATCCGAGAAACCCGTATAGGTATGTCTATATCTACTGAGTTCAGCCCATTATCAAGCAAGACTAACAAATGCAGCTACAGCCCAACCACGTACACAACATACGCCACCTACCTTCTGTACCACTGCTGGTTGTTGCAGTCGCTTTGGCCTCTGCATCAGAGCTCCCTTCCATAGGAACTGCCCGTTTCTCGGTACCGTTTGCTTTCTCATCCTTTTTAGCAGGTGCCCCTCTCTTAGACAAGGTATGCTTGAGAGATTTTTTTTTTAGACTCGGGGTTCTGATTGGCTGCGAGAGCTCTATTATTAGAATCTTTCATCTGATTGGCTCCGAATGCGGGCTTCAGGAAGTAGTGCACCAACCGATAAAGTCGACGGTGGAGTCCCGAGAAGTTGTCCACCGAGTAACAAATCGCCTCAAACAGCACCGGATCAAAATCCCTATTATTTCGGGGCAAAGAAAACTATGTGTATTTAGAAAAGGAACGAATAGAGTCCTAAAGTGCTACGCTTGTCTGCCAGAAAAAAGTTTGGAAGGTACACATGGTTATAACGAGGCCTATATTATATAGGTAGGAAAAGGTCAACACAGATTTGAGCGCAATGTCCGTTCCATTTAAATAGGAGACCTCGAGTGCGCATGAGTGTCCACTCAGATGCCTAATGAAGCAAGAATAGAAGGAGTTGGTATAGTATTGATTGATTGGGAGATCTATCCCTTCTATCTAGAGACCTCGATGTTCCTTGGGGTTCAACTCGTAAGCCACTTCAGTTGGGAAATAAACGGATGCCCATAATATGATATATAGACCACTACTCGTTTCAGGTTAATACAGCCTGATTGTAAATGTATTTAATTAGAGCAACTCCAGCACTTCCGATATAGTGGCGCGGTTTCTTGCGCACTATATACGTAATATTCTCGTGTAGATATACGTAAACTTCTTATTTGATTACTACAAATTGCAAAATAAATCCTACTCTGATGAGGAAAGTGACATCTGATAGTAAGCAGTGGCGTACAGTGTCATACGAGTAGGAACTGAGCCTACTGGCCTTCATAGGCCTCAGTACAAAATCACTCTATAGAGGGGGGGGGGAGGGGGGGTAAGTAACTAGCTCAAGGTCCTTTTTTTTCCGGGGGGGGGGGGGTACAATACTGTACGTTTACTTAATTGTCACAACGTTTTTAAACAACCCCTATCTTTTGGAAAGCAACTACCCCCTCAGAAATCATTTTGTGCTGAGGCCTGTCATATTTAGTAGACCATGGACAAAGTAAGACGCATATGTCCGAAGAACGCTAACTAGCATATAACAAAAGAAACTCCGAACGTGTTCCACCCACTCAGAAGTGCACAGTATCCACCCTCCACACACACACACACACATACACACACACAAACACTTACATATATATATTGGTACCTATTTTGCGATACGTACTTGAATGGGATATCTCTGGCATTGGCGAACACCCTCGATGATGATTTTGGGGCAATTTCAGTCCCTTTTTCGTCTGCGGGTACGAATCCTGGACGTTTGCTGCGCAAAATATTCGTACCTGTGCCGTGTGCAATAGATACAGTACCTCGAGTGATATGAGTGGACAGATGATGTTTTCTATAAATAGCGCAGATAGCGTCCGACGTTGACAATGTTACTTTCTTTAATGAACGAACATGGCTGTAGCTGTTCTACCCATAACCAGGTGCATCTGCATACGATTGGGGTGAACAGGTATGCTGAACGAATGCTGGTTGAAACAAATAATTCCTTTCACATATCTGATGATATGCCTCAGCGCACCCGAGATCGCCAAATTGTGTCCTAATGGTTGCAGTACACTTCCCGATAAAATATGCACGTGGACTTCGATTTCACATAAGATACCTACACACTCGCACAGACGTTCCATTGTCATCGTCGAGTGCAACTATGCATGGTTACTCTTTCGGCAGACGCTCATGTACACTTAAAGCCTTACACTGTCTAGGAAAGATACAAGCTGAAACAACCATGCATATAGACACCAGACCTACACACAATGCAACCAAATACAATCACCAGACCTAATACTTAGACATTGATATAATAATAAACCCTACATTCCTACCAGTAAGCAATACCAAACAACCATGGGGACTCTAGCACCAGCACCTTTGGAAGCGGATAAGAGTATCATACCAGTCGCGGGTGTGAATGATCTCGCCTTCCGCATAACCCTGAGCGCCTCAGTCTTTAATCTGGACTCCTTGGAAGTGGCTGTCCCATAATCTATCCCGTTATTGATCCCGTTACTCGTATCGGTATTCGTACCGTTGTCCTCAGGCTTGAGACTGCGAATGAAATATGTAAACAAAAGTACTTGTGAACGTGTACGAGCCTCGGACTACTCTAATAGCATACACATGCCTCATCTTTATATATAT